GCGGGGGGGAGGAAGCAGGAGGGAGGAAACGGCCGCTGCCAAAAGAGCCGAGCGCTTTTCCCTTTTCCTCCCCTCGATGCTCGGAGCAGACGGAAGAGGAAAGTGGAAAACCCCTTCCCTGTGATCAACCCATACCAGGCCACGCTCAGTCTCAGCCCTAGACCAGCGGTGGAAATTTGGGCAGCATCTTCCCGTAGGCGGCATCACCCTCCCCTTCCCCTCGGGAAGCCGCCGCATCCCGTCCCATCCCGCAGATGCCGTCAGGAGTGACAGCCCGCACTCAGAGCAGCAAAATTGCTCGGATGGAGGGGAACTGACAGCTGAGGTTACAAATTAGAAAATTTTAAGCAGCGGCAGCTGTCTCCTTGGCTGCCCCCCTCCAGTCCCCCCCCCCAGCTCTGGTCCCCCCCTTCCCCAGCGGTAATTACGGGGTGATTGAAGCTTCGCCAGGCTGCAGTGCTGACACCTCTGTCTTTTTTCTGTAAACACGGGGAGATGAAAATAGACACTTGGAGATGCTGCGAGTGTCACTTTGAAGGTGTCTCTTGTCTCCTGGGTGGCGAGACTGGGAACATGGCTGTCAGCTCCCCTCTGCCCTGGCTGTCACGCTCCGGTCCCTGGTCCTCTAGCATCATGTCGAACGAGATGGACAGGGGTCCAGGCAGACGGGCAGGAGGGTCAAGAAACATACCCAAATCTTTTGGTCAGCCCAAATTGGCTTTAACACCTCCCAAGAGGAAGGAGAGGGAATATTAATTGTGTTACCTTCCCAGCTGGGGGCTGGAGGGGGCATACAGCAGCTCTCTGAGCGCCTGTGCCACCACCGTGCCCATGGGGACAGCTGGTTTTTGGCGTTAACTCTGCCGTCTCTTCCCACAGCCCCACGGGGATGGGTGCTCGGTGAACACCCCGTCACCGCCTCCCCCCCGGGACCAGGCTGCAACATCGCTGGGGTGGCCTGAGAGGAGAGAGTGGCTCTCCTTTGGGATGGAGACCCGTCCCGTGCCTGTAGGATGCTGAGATGATGGACACTGGTAGGGATGAGGTTTGCTGGAAGCGGCTTGGGCTGCCGTGGTAGATGGGGCTCCTGCCGTGTCTGTGGGACTGTGGCCACCCCAGGACAAGACACGCTTGAGCCTGTGCCACTCTCCCGGGCAGCGATCGGGCAGAGCCCAGTGTGGGTTTTGGCCCCTGTGACAGCCCCGTGGGCTCCCCTCACCCCCCCTCAGGGCTGGGGCTGGCTGGGGACACATCCCCTTCGGCGGGGATGGTTTCCTATGGGCTTTCTTTGTGTGCCAGCAAAACCCGACGTGCGGGTGCCCTTTGCCCTTCCCGTGGCCGTGCCATAGCACAGACGCCCGGCGTTGGCAGGGGACCGTCCCCAGGGGTGGGCAGGGGACAGGGATGTGCTGGTGGAGCAGCACTGACCACGGGCAGGTTAGAGCCATGCCCGCTGCGAGTTCGCTGCCCGACTGGCTCAGCATTTCCCCCACTGGCTTTCCCGTGACCCGGAGCGGAGCACTGCACGAACACCCTTGTATTTAAACACCAAGTAAACACCTTACGCGGCAAATAAGCCCTGAGCAGCTGGAACAAAGGGAGCAGCTCGCCCGCGGCGTTAGCCCCCATCGCAGAAATAATTAAGCCCCAAATGAGGTTGCCCTCCCAGCCTGCAGGTAGCCTCATTGCTTCGCAGCAGACGCACGGGGCTCTTTCTCGCCAGCCGAGGGGAGAGGAGGGTATTTCAGGCCCTCCGCTCCCCGTGCCTGTGCCCCGCGTCGTTCCTTTAATTACAGGTTTTCAGCCGCAGACCGTTGGGCACGGATCGGTGGGGGGATCGGTTCCCAAACCCTGTCATTTAGCCTCGTCAGAGTGCCTCTTCAAAGAGGGGAATCTAGAAATTTTCTCCGCAAGGTGCGGAGTGGACTGTCTCGGCCCCAGCATGAATATAATGACAGATGCATTTTACAGCAAGCTGGGACTGAATGCGCTCGACCACAGCTCCTTCTGTCAGCCAAGTCATTATTTTTTGTCATTTGCTGACAGTTTTGGTCTCATTCGTTTCTCTCTCTTTTTCTGCTTTTCCCCCTGCCTGGAAAAATGGCTAGGTATCTATGAGACCCCAGCGGGAACGATCCTATACCATGCGCATTTAGATATCGAGGCCTTCACCATGGACCGGGAAGTACGGAAAATCAAGCAGGGGCTTGCCTTGAAATTCTCCGAGCTGGTGTACAACGGTACGTACGGTCCTTTGGCCCGGCCATGCCGCCGCAGCATCCTCCCAGCCTTCCTTCTCCTCCTCCCTCGTCGCTACCGGAGGCTGCAGGTCCCGCCGATACAGGCGCTCAGGGCTGTAAAATTCAGGTGTGGGTTTTGAGGCTACTCATGGGGGAAGAGATGGGTTTGCTCATGCCAAGGGCTGAGCTCTAACCCACACCCTGCCTTTTTTTTTTTGTGCCAAGGGGGTTCCACACCTGCCTTTGGGAGGGGATGTTGCCTTCCACGAGGGCTTGCTGGTAGGGGATGCTCCCAGCATCTCTCCCAGCATCTCTCCCTGCCCGGTGCTACCGCTTTGTCCCATCCAACACATTGGGATGTCTCATAGGCAGTAATTCATCATCCCGTTGTCCCCCCAGAGCCACCTTTCCCCAGCTTTCCCTCCATCTGCCCTCGCCCCACGGGACCCAGAGCACACCGGGATATGGGGCACACGAGCACCCGAGCTCCCGACACGGCCATCCCCGCGGTGGGGTTTGAAGCCGGAGACCTCTCCCCGTGGTTTGGCAGGGAGAAGCGCAGGGGTACATGGCACGGGGGCCTCTCAAGATGCCGTGTTGGTGGCTGCCGGGGTCCGGGGGGGCTGCGGGAGGGGACAGGAGGGTCCTGGCCGTGCTATGCGATGTGCAGCCCACACAGGGGCACTGCGGGCTGGGGCTTGGCCGGAGGCTGCCGGAGGGGCTTCCAGCACAGCCGGGGTGGGCTGGGAGCCATAAGGGACAAGGGGACACTGGCTCACACCCGCAGTTAGGGACAAACATAAAGCCCTTTGCCCTTCCTCCTGTGGTGCCCCCGGCAGCTCCAGCTCGGGTCTGCTCAGCCGCCCGCGTGGGCTGAGTTTGAGGGGTCTCAGCTCCGTCCCCCTGTGCCGCTGGGGAGGGTGCTGCGGGAACACAGCGCTGGGTCGGGGGGGCTGCCAGGAATGGCACCCCCGGGAGGGGACATCAGCGCTGCCCCGGGGTCTGCTCCGTGGATCGACCCTGACTCGGTGCGAAGTTGAAGGAAGCAGGGTTAGCCCGAAATGCTGTAGGGGGGGCTCAGAGTCCTGCTGCCCACCCCCGGCTACGTGCCGCACGGCTCCGAGCAGCCCTGCCCTGTTCAGAGCTGACACCCCTGGAGACCCCACGCCGGGGAGGTTTCCTGCCCTTTGGACAAACACCACTCTTATTTTTCACACGTCCTGATTTCTCAGCCTCCAGGTTCCTTCTCCCATCGCCTTTCAGGCGTTTCTCTCTAACTGCAAGGGCTGGGATGATTCCCATGGGATCTTCCCACGGAAATAACCTGACTCCAGGAGGTCAGGCTTTGGGCAGCAACAGATCCAGTGGGACTGGGTGAAGCTGTCTTCTCCCCTGCAGTTTCTGATGCCTGTGCTTGTCCTCGGCACCTTCCCCTCCAAGGACATTCCCTCCTGCATCTTCCTCGGCAACCAGCATTTAACATCTGCGCCCCTTTACTGCTTAAACCATATTTTAGGGCCTTGGCGGGGCGAGGGCTTCTGGGGCTGCAGAAGTCTTGGTTACCCTCCCCTTGAATCACAGCCCCTGCCTTAATTCACTCTCTGTTGCTGCTACTGCCCCTGGCTATTTTTATTAGACTTTGTCCTGGGCTGCCTTTATTTTGACTTTTCTTCCTTTTTTTTTTTTTTTTTTTTTTCACTTTAAGCATAACCCTGTTTGTTTATTTCTAACCACTCGCTTGTTGTGAAGCCACCAGCTTCAAGAGTCACTCAGGGAAACTGTGATTTCGCTTCTCCCTCCCCACCTCTGCCAGGCGAAGGCCGCTGTTCCCCTGGCTCCAGATGCTGAATCCCTGGGGATTTTCAGCCTGGTCCTAGACTTTCCTAGACAAGGAACAACCCCAGCGGGATGCAAACAGCACCCGTGGGTCCCTACGCCGGAGGCCAGGCTTTCAAGCTCACCTTCCTTTAACACCTCATTATTGCAACTAGTCCCTGATTTTAGGAAAATTAGTGTTTATCTTCCCCCCCCCGACCTCCTCAATCCCCATTGATCCCATTGTGGAGGACGGCTTTGAAGCCAGTTCCCGTCCCGGCAGGTACGGCCAGGTGTGGAAATGCCATTGTCCGTCTTCCCGCGCCGTGATTAGGGCAGGATGGTGGTTACAAGGCAGGAAGGTCATTAAGAGGGATCTCTTCCAGTGGGGAATGTGTCTGTGGTAGGGGGTGAGGGAGGGGGGGATGCTTCCTCACACCTGGAGCTGTCGGAGTCGGGATTTAAGCAGCTGGTTATTATTTTAATGTGTCTCAGATTTATTTTTACGGGGATGAAACAGCCCTACGTCATTCCTGATATTTGAAGAGCCGTACCTGGAGAGTGGTTATGAAAAAAGAGGGGTTTATTTGCCCGGAGCCGGGGTCCCTGCCTGTGTGGCAGTGCTGACTGTGGGAAGGGGGTCCCAAACTCCCCCGGCCGTGCCGTGGTGGGGTGGGCGAAGTGGGGGGGTCTGGCTCAGGGAGGTGGTGCTGCTGGTGAGGGGTTGCAGGGCTGTGACGCCGGGCAGTGGAGAAGGGATACGTGGATCCCAGGGACAAGGCTGCGGGGTACGGCCCCGCTCGGGGGACCGGTGAGGCCAAACGACAAAAGAAATTGTTTGTTTCTTTAATGGCTTTGGCCCCGGAGCCCAGCTGGGGAGGGAAAGGTGAGAGGGCACCGGTGTGCGAGCGAAGCCGGGGCGCGATGGGAGAGATAAAACCTGGGGATGACCGGAGGGCGGTGAATGGGCTCTTTCTCTCTCTTTCTCTATCTCCTTCTCCATCTCCCAGGCTTTATTCCAGGTCTCCGAGGGCTCCCCGGCTAATTACCCCGCTTAGGGACAGGAGGGGGCACAGGGGTGGCAGGCAGGGCCGCGGCCCCTCCGTGCATCCGTGCTGGCCTCGGTGGATGGCAGCTCCTTCCTCCCCTCTTCAATTCTACGTCCATCTGTCTGTCTCCACCTGACCCTCCGGAGATGGTGTTTTTTGGGTGACAGTTTCACATTAACTTAATGAAGCTTTTAATTTCTGTGATCACCCCCACCCTGTGGAGGTGGAAGGAGAATGGCACCGCTGCATCTTCCCCGCCAGCTGGTTCCATCCTCCTCTCCCGGGTGGGAACCTGAAGGCCACCAAGGCGAAGGGACACACGTGGGGTCTCCATCACTCAGAGTTGAACCTGGGTGTCCTGGCACCTCTCCCAGTCCTGTGACCGCATCCCTTCCCTTGTAAACGATTGGGGTCTGCCTTGCCGGACTTAGCTCGGGGGGACCACCCTGTATGGGCACCCTGGGGTGCCCCGGGTAACCCTGGCCCCCTCTGCGTCCCCGCTGACCCTGCCTCCTGCCCGCAGGCTTCTGGCACAGCCCCGAGTGCGAGTTTCTCCGGCAGTGCATCAAGCGCTCGCAGGAGGCGGTGGTGGGCACCGTGCGCCTCTCCGTCTTCAAGGGCCAGGTCTATATCCTGGGCAGGGAGTCCCCGCGGTCGCTGTACAACGAGGAGCTGGTGAGGTGAGTGGGGCTTGAGTGGGAAGGGGTGGTGGCAGCGAGTGTCCCATCCCACCTTGTCCCGTCCCATCACACCCCATCCCATCTTTTCCCATCCCATCCCACCCCATCCTGCTCCATCCCATCCCATCCCATCCCACCCTATCTCACCCCATCCCATCCCCGGTGACATCAGGGACGGTGTCCTCCCAGCCAAGCACCCGGCTGAAGCACGAGCCCCGTTTTCAAGTCAATATTATTTTTTTTCCTCTGGCTTTTCCTTTTTCTTCACGTTGTTTTCTCTCTCGCTCACTCACTCCCCCCCCAGCCCTCCCTCAACCCCTTTCAATCTCTCTAAACACTTTATAAGCCATAAATACACCCGAATGAGTTTAGATCAGTCGGAGTAAATGTCAAATTATCTTCTCTCTTTCTCTTCTCTGGCTTTTTTTCCCCCCTTCCCTCCCCCTCAAAATCAACAGCTCCTAATAATCTGTCCCAACCCTTCATTATGCTTCGCACTCTCACTTGGAGAGATTAAATGAATAAAGTATAAAAAAAAAAAAAAAAAAAAAGAGGGAAGAAAAAAAAGGAGGATGGAGGGGGGTGGGACGGAGGAAAAAGAGAGAGGGAGAGAAAAGCAGGGGCACTTATTCTCCCTGCGTCTCCAACCATTTTCCTTTTCTTTTTGATTTCTACATCGCTGGTTTGAAAGCCTTTGAGTGACGGCGTCACAGGAACCCGAGAGAAAGCTGTGAGAGGCAGAGCTGTGTGGAAATGCCTCTGCACAGTAGGTAGAAAGTAACGTAATTATAGAGCAGGTCAGAACCACTCGAATGAGCAAAAATAAAAGCACAGAGGTTTTTCTGTAGCCCGTCAGGGGAGGTAAAATCATTGTAAACTCTTTCTTTTTTTTTTTCTTCTTCTTTATC